GGGCAGAGCTGGGGAGGCAGGAGCTGGGGGGGGATTTGGGGGGTGCAGGAGAGCTCTGGGGGCAGAGCTGGGGGTGTGTTCGGGGGAAGGAGTGCCCCGGGGGTGCCCGCAGCGCCCAGGCAGGGCCGTGTCCTTGTTGCCGTGGCCAGGCGGCAGGGTAGGCGTGCAGTGTTGGAGATAAACGCCGGTGGCGCGTGCGGGCCTGGTTGTGATGCTCCGTTTTGCAGGACCGCCCCGGTGATGGCTGAGGGCGATGGCACGGGCGGCCTGCCTGGAGGGAAGTCCCGGGAGGATGAGGAGCACGTGTCTCCAGCAGGCGGTGGGGGACTGAGGGAAGTGGAGCCCGCGGCTCTGACACGGAGGAGGCCCGAGACAAAGCCCCCCGGCGAGCCCGCTCTGGTGGAAGAGCCCCCTGGCCCAGCCCTGACGGTATCTTTCTGCAGAGACGCCTCAAACCCCGCAGGGTCCCGGTGGTGTTGGGCAGCGATTCGGAGGCCTTTCCCCGCTTGCTTTTCCATGGACTAGTGATGGGACAGCTCTCCACCGAGGGAGGCTGAAAATGCGTTGGGTTAAATGTCATTGAACCCTGCAAACGAGCCTCTGGGGCTGTCTCTGCCTTTCCCCCCACTCGTGCCCAGCAAAAAGCCATGCTTTGATATTTGCATAGTGCAGTTTAGATAGCTAGAAATTGGCTTCTTTCCCTGAGAGCAGGGTGCAGCGAGTGTTTGTGTGGGAAGAGAGAAGGACCTCTGTACTCATCCGACAGCTCATTTCCCCTTTCTTTCCTTCCTACTCCATTGCCCCAAACCCCTCTCCCTTTGCACTGTGGCTCCTCAGTGTTTAGCTCAGGGTGAAATGATCTGTCTGTGTAATTAATTCTCTTATTCCGGAAGCCAGTTCGTTACGGTCTGCAAGAGAAGGCGGCAGATGGAAATGATGGTATGGAAGCTTTTGAAGTTGGAATAGGCAGTGATGCATAAACCCTAAAGCAAAGATGATGATGATGATAACAAAAGGTTATAAAACATTAAAAAAAAAATTGAATTCATCTTCCACAGTGAAGCATGGGTTCAACTAGTTTCCTCATATTCCTATAAGGTTCACTTGAGGTGCAGATGAGGAAGGCTTTTGGGTATAAGCATCAGCACTGCCACAAAAATCCCATTCTCTGTTTTTTTTTTTCCTCCACTTCTTATTGCACGTACAGCCTCACCAACATTTCTGCCTCTCACCAACTTTGAACCAATGCCCTTTTAGGGAGTAGGATGAAACTTGTCGGGGGAAAAGGGGGCATCTGTCTCCTCTGCTTTGGTTTACAATTTTCTCTAAGCATCTGGTACAGTAAGAAAGGATACAGGATCAGAGGTCAGCTATAGGACCGACAAAACATTTGCTTATCTTGGCCTTGTGCAGGGGTTGTGGGGATCAGGTCAGAGCTGACTATGCTTTGGGCACTCACGTGCAATGAAGTTCACTCTTTTGGCTACATTTAAAAGAGCTTAATAAAGGCACAGCTCAAAGGATGCTCATTCATTATTCTGCCTCTCTCCTTTGAATAAAGGTCTCTGAATCCATGGAGCCATCTCAGACCGGGTGGGGATACTGGGGCAGCTGGGGAAAGTCGCTTCTCTCCACCGCCTCAGCTACAGTTGCTACTGTAGGTAAGGGCTCCTGGTGTTGTCCTTCTTTGGGACCTGTGGATGGGGGTAAAATCATGCCCTGACTCTCACAGATGCTTCTGGCTTCTACTCTCCTGTTTGCTTTTTAGAAAACGGGATTTCGGTTTTAGAAGCGGGTGGTGGCAAAAATCGAGCGCAAAAACAGCACAGGGGAAAAGTCAGTGTGCCTCAAATGGCAGAACGAGGCAGGGAGATCTGTGCGGCAGAGTTATTTTCAGGCCTGTAACGAACAGTGCTGAGCTGAAGTGCCAGGGCTGATAAACTTTTATGCTCCCATGTATCTGAGGCAACATAAAAGTGAAGCATGGACTCATGTCTGTGAGCAAGCCAGGCCGTGCTAGTTCTTAGTACTGTGTATGGAGGTGAAAACCAGGATACGGTCCTCAGTGACCAATTTTGTTTCCGATTTATTCACTGCTTTCCTGGTAGAAAAAGCAATGCAGTTGTGCTTTTATGCTCATCTTCTCTAGGTCAAGGCATTTCCAATGTCATAGAAAAAGCAGAGACCTCCCTGGGGATCCCCAGTCCTAGTGACATCTCTTCAGAGGCCAGCGATGCTGCAGAAGGTCAGTTTTATTATTAAAATAAAAACATTAAAGGTTGCTGTTGAAGTGATAAGGCTGAGAGGAGGCTTCTGGACTCCTCCAAGTGTCTTGACAGAAATTTCACTTACTAAAATATCACGTCCGTGCTTGTCTCTGTAAAGGATCAAAGTGGTGGAAGAGCGATTTTTTTTTTTTTTTTTTTTTTTTTTTCCG